TATATATATATATATATATATATATATATATATATATATATATATATATATATATATATTGATGGCATCAATTTAGATATGTCCTGAGAGAGACTGCGTAAGAACGCATTTGAATTACCGCGCAAATGAGGGCGTGTTCAAAGCGGTGGTGCCAGCTGGCCAGAGGTGTGGGGAAGGCATCCCTTACGTCAGGCAAGAGGAGAAAAAGGAGTGGGATCGACTGACCAGTGGACTGTCTGGAAAGACCTAATTTTGGCAGCGGAGCGAGAAGGACTTCGGGCGAAGAGGAGGGAATAGGACGAGTGCTATGTTAAGTTAAAGAAGTTTGAATAATTAATAGTGGCGAGTTATTCGACGTACGGTCGTTATAGTTAGCAGAGGCAATTTTGTTAGTGAACAGGAAACGAGAGAACTGTGAGAACATTTTCCGAGACGAGTGACAGAACTAAATTTACGACGTGCTCCACAGTAACAGGCATTTTTTGTTTCTTGAAGTGAGTATGCGAATGAGTTGAAAGACCACCATTGTATATTCACTAGGCAGCAAGATATTAATTTATTGGTTTTATAGTAGATATATCTTATATCGTTCTCATAAGCGCAGGAACTGTATCAATGAGAATTCACAAACCCCAAACTCGAGATATTGAAAGCGCGCAAGAAGAGAGTCGGAGTGAGAAGACGAGGGCGGAAGACTGGACAGGTGCGCGCTGAGGGACGACGCATGAAGGAGTCGTGGAAGCCCGGGGTCGGCCAGTGACCTCGCGTTGCTGTGCAGCGCATTTTGGACGAGGCAGCGTGCGCGCTGGTTGACCTTCGCTGACGATTGAGAGGCAGCGTCAGAAGGCTACTAAATGATAAGTTTTGTGAGATTTTATTTCTCGGTGTCAAGTGAATAACTGCAAATCGGAATTATAGTTAGCCTGAGTAGAAGAAAAATCCAACAAAGAATTATCACGACGTTTTAAAAGAAAATCGACATTCATGGGACGGACAGACAACACCCACAAAACATGAATTCTGGTTACACCACGTATTAGAGGAATTGTTTTTCTATAATTAGCAACTGGATTTATCCACATTTACTGGCCACCAACTTTACCGTTTTCTGACGCACGTGAGAGAAAGTCATCTTCTTACGTTAGTACATGCGAGAAAGTAAAATGGTATCCGTCTTCCCCCTGCCAGAAGATAAATAAATATTGTAAGGCGTTATAAGTCCTGTGCGTTTCGGACACACCTTTCAATTCATTGTTTCGACGATGAAGCACGATATCTCCAGGCTGAAAATTTTCTCCGACAATCACGATAGCCACTTCGTAGATTGTCGGTGAATTAAACTTCCTTACGTGCTCACCAGCAAGTGTTTAGCTCTAATGATATTATTGCTGTCGGACGGCATCCGATCCAATGCTATTTGAACATTTAGACTCAATCTGATTGAATCTATCTATTTGATTGAACAATCTGATTGAATCAATCTATTTGAACATTTGGACTCTCTCAAATTCTTCTGATTAAGAAACGTTTGTAGTTCTTGGACAATAGTTCGCTTCACTGTTGGACTGTGAGCACAACGCTTATCAACTTCCGCATCTGAATTGCCCTTAAAATAAATTTGTAAGAATTGATGATCTGCATCTGATAGTGGTAACAGAGCTCAAAGTAAGTGATGATAGTTTGTCCTTGTGTCTGCAATTATTTAATAGCGTTCTCCATTCGCCGTGCTAGTGCGTAATCAATGTGCACCCAGGGCCAGTGGGGTGACACTAGATAGGGCACATCCGGTCCTTATTCAAATTCCATACAGTAGCCAATCAGAGTTCAGAGCGAGCCATTACATCTGACAACACCAACCTCGCTCAACGGAGAATCGGTAGACTACTTTTCATTTTGAAATTTTTTCCAAACGAGCGCGGTTAGTTAACCGTGGATCTCCTTCCTCGTCGACCTATGGTTGTATATTCACGTGCTGTTTCGTAGGGCTGTTAACGCCATATCGCAGTCAGTTGAATTAGAGAAATGAAGTGATTTATGGCTGTTTTGAAGTCTGAAGCGTGCATTTTGGCTTCGAGAAGATAATGGGTGCGTAAAAAATAGTGGAATTTTTTTAATGTTCATGTTCAGTTGCAGATCCTCTTGTTGAAACCAAGCGAGGTTTGACACCCATGCAGCTATGGGTGTAATTGGTAAGATTTTTTATAGAATATTACTAAATATATGTTTAATAATATATAGTTTGTGTGGAGGTTATGATACCAGCATTTTTTAATTTTTCAGATCCTTGTACACAGCAGTTTTTCAAACTGAAAATGGTTAATCCTTTGTGTATGTTTGTAAAATGCAAACAGAAACAGCTATTGAAAGCATAATGTATTGCAAATAATTTGTTGTTGATAATACAGGTTCTAGTGCTGTTGAACATGCTGCTACAGGCAAGTGCAGCAGATGCTTATTCTAGCCTTGTGAAAGGTAAATATTTGCTATAATTCTTAAGAATCTCAATTATTACTTTGTGCATTACTTTATTGAAGATGGGATAGATTTAAAGTTTGTCTCCATTTTCAGATCTTTTTTCATCCATGTGAGGTGTCACCTCAGTGTTTTATGGATGTTTCTCATGTATGTTCCTTTCAAATATACAGTTATTAGTGCCAATTGAGGGCAAATATATAGTAAAAAACTCTTTTTTTGTTGATTACAGATCCTTTACTTCTGACAGTGCAAGAAGCCATTCTGGGAGATTGAATCTGCGCCTTCGGTGTGTGGTAAGTGCACGAATTCCTGTGCTTTCTAATTTCGCTAATTCTTAGATGGTAAATTAAAAGAATACTCTTTCTTTTTGATACAGATTCGTTTAGAAACATTCATTTGAGGACATAGTATATTTCTTAACATCATTTTTTGCTTTTCAGATCCTCTTCCAGAGATGTTTCTGAAGCATGCATATTAGACCCTACAAGTTTGACCCTAAGGGGTTATAAATTAATGTTCACTTTGAGGAGTCAGAACTCAGAGAGATATATTTCAAAGAATTATTGTTATATGCAGTGAATAACTTGCTTCATGTTGCACAAAGTTCTTAAACATATTTCTTTTACGCTGATCAGTTTATAAAGTATGAACAACGACAGTTTAAATCAGTGTGTATTTGTCATTGGGTACAGATCCATTATATAAACTGTATTTCCCAACATCTGATTTGAAAGTTCTAATAAATGAAAATTTAAAGATAAAAATTAATTCTGTAAAGCATGATCATTTCTCAATTTTGGAATGCCTCTTGCTTATGTTAAGACACTTTATTTTGAATATTATGAATACAAAGTTTTGAGTTTCTGTTTCAGAGCCTATTTCATGCAATTTTAGAATTTATTTAATGGCTATTATCTAGTCTGCAATTTGTTTCTTTCTTATTAGTATTAATGTTTATTATTAGTATTTGATATAAGTTGCTTATGTATTGTTATACTGTTCTGACAATAATAGTTTCTCATGACAAACACAATCTGATTCAATTTATATTCTAGTATGGTGTGTATCATTGTGTTTTGTTCATCGTCGTGCCAATTACATTCTGAATTTGAATGCTGATCCTTATTAGCCTTGTGAATTGTTGTGAGTCGTGAATGCAATGCTTGATTCTATAGCTCAGTTATTAGGACATTGCCCAGTTATCAGAAGTCCCAGGTTGGCTCCCTCGCGCAGTACAATATTTGCACTTTGACTATTCACTTTCAGAATTATTATTTAATTGTAGTGCATAAGCATTGATGAATTCCACTATTTGTTAATCATTGTTTTAAAGTGAATGTACTTTCACAGTGGATCCCATTTTAAAAAAGCCAGGCTCTGAACTGTGCATGTGTGAGATTAGCATGGGTAAATAAAATATGTCAAATATTTATTGACTAATGAAAAACATTTTTAGGTGTGCAACTAGTAAAAGCGGTTCTTTCAAGACATGCAGAGCATGCTAAAAGCTCAATTTTTTGCACTACTGCTTTAAGTGGGACAATGCTCAAATGTTCTGATAAACTTTGAAAGCAACAAAGAAAACAAAATATGTTCATGTGACCTAATCAGATCAAAATAAAATGGCACTTTTACTCCTTGTATCGTAACTATTCTTTTACCTGGGCAAATGTGCGGTAGTATTTTCATTTGTTTCTTTTCAATTCTGTTCTTATTGTTTATTCATAATGCTTGTAATAATGTAGTATTCCATAGTATTAATTGGCATATCTCAAGCAAATACTAAAGTTGCAATTATGCAGGTGTACTGTTTATTACTTTCTGTAATTCAAATTGTTATTTACTAATTAAATTACGAAATTGTATAATATCAATATTCTCAATAAATACTAGATGTTTACTATCTTATTTGACTGTTTTTCTTCATAAAATCCTTATAATTATTATTGTGAGTTTTTTAATAAATATAAGGCTTGGAAGATGGAGTGAACTTTTAAAGTTCCGCGTCGCTGGTTTATTTCAAATTTACCGGTTACTTCTTCGCTATTGTGTCCGTTTACCCAATAGAAAGTATACAGAACAATGTGGTGGCACCGGAAGTTGGGCAAATAAGGCTTTTCCTTTTAACATTGAGTGCCATCTCTGATAATACTCTTTGCCCAGGGCAGCTTTTCGTGATCCATTTGGCCGCTAGGGCTTAGCGGGTACGTTTATGTTGGAGCGGCGATAAACGATGAGAGCGAAGAGAGAGTTGTTGTTGCGAAATCGCAGCGCGCTGAGTGGTCATGTCGGAGCATCGCGAAGCAGCGCCGCTCCGAAATTTGCCAGAGACATCTACAGACATTCGGCCAAACTAACTCGTCCTTTCCATGCCAACCTTTGTGAAATCACCCACCATACTTCCTTGAATGGCTAGGACTTTTGGTTAAGATTTAAGTTGAACCGCAGGAGAGTCAACCTAAACTTCATTTCCCCTACGCAATGGAAGCATTACAGACTACGAGGTCCATAGGTCTTTTGTTCGCTGGATATTGCATGGCTTGTAAAAAGAGAGAGAGGTCAACTTTACTCAATTCCCCCTGCAACATGCGGCAAACAAGCTGTGTGGAGCCCACGAGAGAGTCGGTGCTAGCGCGTACTATTTGAAGTTTTTGTTCTGCAAGCGAATTCAATGTTGGTTGCTTTGGAAATGTATTGTTATTTTGTATTTTGCTTGGCATTTTCATCGATGCGTCGTGATTTGACGGAAAACCTTCAATGAATGTGCTAAGAGGAGAAATTGTAGAAAGTGAGAAGAAGTAAAAAATATTCACGAGAGAAGAAAGAATTGCTCAGTTTGATATCCTGGCTGTGGCGATATTTATAGAGGTAGCTGCCTTGTCTTCAATAAACTATTAAGTTGGTTTGCATTAAACATGTATAAGAATAAATAATCACTATAACATCAGAATTGAATCAGTACAATTTTTTCTTTTAAATTATTTTAGATAATGTGAATTTTGCAAATATTATTATACAATACAAAAATGATTATACAATCTAACTTTATGCAAATTTTACATTGAAAAAACTCAATGTCCATTCCTTTGTTTTACAGGGAGAAGCCTAGCCTCTTGATGAAAGAAATTTGAAGCATGTGAATGAGTGTTTAAAGAAATAATTATGGATCTTGTCTGAGGGTCTTGTATGGAGGAAGGAAATCTATTGTGTACTATAGGCCTATGTGGATCTCCAAAATTAAGAATATTTTCTTCCAAGTTATATGAAAAATAAAAACAGTAAAGAAAAGTGTGAAATTTTGCCCAAAAAAGTGACTATGTACAGAATATTTCAAATATGTGCAGTGCTCTATTATTCTGTCAATTTCTATTTGTCAAAGTCCCATTAGTCTGTCAAATTTCATCTGTTAACACAGTTTTCAGTTGGTACATTCTCAGTATTTAGAAGGGAAGTATCATTTTTTATTTAAGAAAAATAATTAATTTGAAGATTTTTGGTTTCTTCTGTGATATAAATAATTGTATGTTATGCAATACACATCATGGAGTAAATAAAAAGAAAATTTTTAAAAAGTGTACTTAAATTATTACTATCTTTAAAAATAAGAAAGAATTCTTCACATTTTAATATTCGTCAGCCAATAATTTGGTGTTAATTTTATCAATCTTATTTGAATTCTCAGTAGATGTTTCCTATTGTACTTGTAAAGAGCCTATATTGTGGTGATATGTTGGTGTTAATTTAACTGAATATAAAGTCTGAATACTACACATACAAGAAACGCATCAAATGTTCAAAATCATTTCAAATCAAAGAGATTTAATTCCAGTGTCCTCAGTTAATGTTGACTGAACAACATAACACTCTCTCCCAATTGTTTTTTAAGTTTTTATGAAATGATTAAAAATGAATTTTCATGGAAGACTTCGAAATGACTGTGTGTTTTTCAAAAACCATTGTAAATTAATAATTTTGAATTCTTTAGTAGAAACTGACCTGAATTTCAAAGAAAACAGATTATAGGGAAGTGATAAAGGTAATTAGTAAGCTAGTTTTATTTTAAAATGTTTTTTAAAATCTTAACAGTATAAAACTGGAAGGCTGGAGGTTCTATAAGTGTAACACCTCAATATTTTGCCAATAGTGGCATGGACTATCTGATATCAATCACTTCAATTTTGATTTAATTTACAAACGTGTAATTCAATGTTGTTCAAGGAATGTTGATATTATTTGTACTATAAAACCAATAATGTAAATAATTATCTTTCAATAAAGTTTCTAGTTAAAAAATCTGTTTATGGCATCTCATTTTTCTTCTATTGTTTTCCAATTTATTTCACTGATAAACATCCACAATTGTTTAATAACATTTAAAAAATAAATACATTTTACAATTTCTGTTATAAATTGTGCTTCCTTGGACTGCACCCACATTGGAAGGTGGCATGGATAGCAAACACATAAGAATAAATCATCCCAATCAATCTGAGTGAAGTCTCAACTACAAGAAATTCTTTTCAAGTTTTATAAGGTGTTGTGGTTGCAAATTACAAATTCATTAACAGATGGAGTGGATGGTATGGAATACAAAAATAATGGGGTACCTTCTGAGCATTGACACTACAAAAATGACTCGGAATAATACATTATCACTTCAAGATGATGATGTGCTCTGTTTAAGTTAACATTTAGTTTCCCACAACACAATAAACAAGTGACAGACATACCATCATTATTTGTATTTTTGTTGTTCATTGAAAAACGAATGTAAACATAACCTCTAAAAACTTACGTGTTGTACTAATTAGACGGCCCACAATTTGTCTAAAATGAACATATTGCGGTAATTTATGTCCCTTTCGTGCCACATTTGACTCCAACAAAAACACAAATGATAAATTTCCTCAGCAATCATTTTATTCGACACTTACAACACCTGAAGTGTGTCAGCTGTGAAGAGCGCGACCAGCGATACTAGCAGCGAAAACCTACCAAAGGGTTTTCGCCGCTCTTATCGCTGGTCGCAGCGCGTTGCATCCGAGAGCAGCGCGCTCTGCCGACATGAACACCTCCATTGATTACATGTCGACGTTCTCGTTGCTTGGCTCGCAGCGCTGCTTCATCGTTTATCGCAGCTCCACTAAACCGTACACTTACCAGTGCAAAAATGCGAATGTTCCCTTCGCTCCCAATACGGAACCAATACGCAAGGAGCGCCCAAAAACCTGCACCGAGATGCTCGTCAGACGCGGCCATTTTGAGGTTAGGTATTTATGGATGTTGATTTAGGTTCGTGGTGGCATTGTGAAGGTAATTGCGGATCTTCTGTCACGCGGGGGCACTCCAAATGATGGAGTTTTACAAGAATTGCCTTAAAATAATTTTTGTGACTTACGCGAAGTTCGAAAAATTAGTTCGTGTATTCCAAAAGTTCACCCTTGAATAACCTCATGTTAGCAAAACCAGTGCTATTTAGAAACCAAAGGGAAGGTACGACTTAATTTCGAAACGCTAATAAAGTAACAATAAAAATAGAGCCATTACAAAATCATTCACACGTATGTGCCCAAAAATGTTTTTCGCACGCTTATATATT